GACTATCTTTCAAATGGTTTGTTTATTTGTTAAATTTGATATATGTTCAATCAAGTATTCATATCAGTTCTATCAAAAAATACTAGCAGTTTGACGTCATTGAAATTATTCTTGTTATCAAAACTTCCATTAAAACATAGTCAACTAAAATCTTTATCCATCATCTACTATAGCGATGTCAGGAGAGTCATTGATGAAACAACCATTGGAATAGGATATTGGTGTCTTTGATATATCGATAATATGAACAGATTGATCATGGGCATCTTATTTGATTACTCTAGTGATCATTAGAGGGAAGAACGACTTGGCAAAAATTCTATCTGACACTTGCCGTAAATCTGATGTAGCTCAAAGGAAAAAATGTTGTAGAGAGCTCGAGAACATCTCGTTCTGTAGAGAATAATTTGTTCTATCATTTTGTTTTCTATGAACAGATTTCATGTCCTAATTGTAGACGTTGAAAAACTAAAAGTTTGCTTTTTTATGAAATATTCGTAATAACCATTCTGTGTTTTACGATTTGTTTTCTACCGAGCTTTTGTGAAACTTTCGAATAGATTTGATACCAATGATAGATATTGTGATTGTTATATATCAAACAATATATTTCCACCATATATCTTGTTTGTTGGTAGAAAAACATTTTATTTCCGAAAAAAAAAATGCAATGTTTGCAGTTTTTTCAAACTTATTAATTTTTATAATCCAGCTTTTTCGAAGATCGATCAATATAAAACAAAATATTTTCTTATCAATTGATAGTTTATGGAATTCACTACAAGACATGTTATCTTTATTTTCTACAAATAGCCACTCGCATAGGCGACGGAATGTTGTGAATCTAGAGTAGGTTCAACAGTTTTTATATAGACCTTCGTCGAGTAGTTAAGAATAAGGATGAGGAAGAGAGCGAATTATTTTATGTTATCTCGAAGAAAACATAGTGTTTCTTTTTTTTTTTCAACTCACATTTTATACTGTATAAATTTACTACTGTTCAGAAAAAAATTTGTATCTTGCATCGACAACAAGGTACACTTGAAGATGCATATTAACATTTGTCTTTAATTAGTTTTGACTCTCGAAAGAAGAGTTCCCAAAATAGAATAATTATGAAACAACAGCGTTCAGAAAAAAAAAGAGATTTCCATTGTGTATTTTCTCTCTTTATTGAAAATGTTTCTTAGGTACGTAAATTTAGCAAAGGAAAACGAAAACAAGTTTCAAGAACTTGTAGTCTATCTAACTCGGATTTCCTGTACAACTCTTCTTTACTTATAACAAAGAAATATTAATTCAAGTCATTAGCAATATAGAATCTAACATTTAATCATACAAAAAATTCAATATTTCTTACGAAAATCTTACTATTTGCCACTAAAGGCAATGAAAAATTTTGAAGTTTGTACAAGAATTTCGATATACTCCATAAATCTATCAATCGAATGGAATGAGAAACAAAAGTTTTAAGTCTAAAATACCTGAATCTAGGGTCGACTTTAGTCTACCTTAGCCTTGTGACTTCGCTATCTATGATCATTCCAGTGTTCAAGAGACGAGGAGAGAGAGAGAGAGTAAAGGATTAATTTAATACTGAAATACCATTTAAAAATATATTAGAAAAGAAAAAACAATACAAATCGGTTATTTGTTTTTAGTTTCCAATTTTTATTAAAACCGTATTTATAGATATATATATAACGAAAAGAGAACATTCTAAGTATGATAAAAAAAAAAAAGGAATTTATGGTTTCTTTTTAAAAACAGGTGACATTTGTTGTTGTTGTTCCATTTTATTTTCAATATTATATTCATCATTATCATTATCATTTAGAAGTGCATCAAGATCTTCAATACATGGTTCTTTTCTTTTATTATTTTCAATTTGTATTGATTTTGTTGGTGTTTGCATTTTAAGTGCATAATCTTGACAAAGTTGATCATCATCATCGTCATCATCATCATCATCAATTTGATTATTATCATCCATTTTAATATCTTGTTGTTCTTGTTCAAATGATTCAGCAAACCGACGCATTTCATCATCATCAATTTCATCAAAATGTATTTTTGCTGTTGTAGAAATTATTGATCGTTGTGGTACGGTACTAAATACAAGATCATCATCAATTTCATCACCATCAAATTCATTTTCATTATCAGAAAAATTATTATTTTTATTTGTATTAGTATTTTCATTATCTTCACTGACTGTGCCCATAATTTGAGCAACACGTGCTAATGATTGTTGTTTTACTTCAATAGGCTGTGAAAATTAAAGATATAATTTGAGATGAAAGAAAAAAAAAAAGAAATCTTTTACTTTATGACTACCAGCTGTATGAAATGCAGTTCGTTGAGAAAGACATTCACTTTGGGATGACATTTATAATCTAAAATAGAAGTTTTATTAGATCAAATATAATCAGTTGCCTTATTAAATGCGTAGATCAACTTGAACGAGATTCAAATATGAAAAGTCTCTTATTGTATCAATTAGTAGATATTAAACAATGTCAAAGGATATATAATTACTTTTCTCAAGAGAACTTCATAGAGAGAGTGATAAATATCACATTGGATATTGTTGGTAAGATGCATAACTCTGTATTGATTGGTAGCAACTTGAATTTCAACGAGAAAAGAATGTGATTCCAGGAAAAAGAAATGAAGTATACTATAATAAAATATTTGTCTAGATCGATCTGAAGTGATATATTTTGCTAGAATATGTTTATTCAATAGGTAGGAACACCTACTTTCGTTGTCTAAAATTTAGTCTTTATTATTAAATTTATTATCAAAATGCAAAATATAGTTATTTATATAATGAATTTAGACTTTAAAATATAAAAAATTAACTTTGACGTAAGACCTTCATTAATTCATCAAAATGTTGCAGTGTACTGAATAATACCTGTCTGCATAGAAATTTGCTATACTCAACATTATTAAGGTTATTTTCTAATTAGAGAATGTAATATTCAGTATTCCAAACGAATCAGTCTTGATTATTGTCGATGATGTGTTTAAGCTTTAATAGCATGTTAATCAATTAAATATCTAATAAAATTGAGTATCAATTTAATTTTAGTTCTAATCGAATTTAATTTTTTTTAATCAGTTAATTACAAAGAAGTATAAAGTAAATTTGGCTACGTATTTTATGCATTTAGTTTCCTATGATCAATTTCAATTCGCGCATTAACGAATTTGGATTAGCACACGCACGCACACAAAAGTGAATCAATTCTATGATTGGATATGTAAAAAACCAATTGAATTTGATAAATAAATATTTCATCGAAATAATATTCAAAAAAAGTTTTAATTATTTATTTTATATAAAATTAAAATTATAAAATTAATAAATAATACATATTCTAATTCATACAAACTCCTTGAGTAATGGTTTATGTTCAACCAATCAGATCTATTGTTTATTTTATTTATTTTATTTTACTAAATGAAAAGAAAATCAGTTTGTTCGTGTTTTCATCTCACAAAGATAATTTTATTTTTTTTTTTCAGATTTGATTACCGATCAAATAATGACATCGTCAAAAAAAGTTGAAAAACCTGAAGGTGCATACATCAAGAAAGGCCGGTATGTAGTAATTATTTGATTTCTATGAACAATTTTTATTATTATTTTCTCTATTAGTCTCTATGTAAAAGCAGTATTTACTGGTTTCCGACGTGGTAAACGTAATCAACATGAAAATACTGCTTTACTTAAACTTGATGGTGTTAATGCTCGACGTGAAACAAATTTTTATTTAGGTAAACGTTGTGCTTATGTATACAAGGCTAAAAAGTAAATTAATATTCATTTGAATTAAATATTTTATATCAATTGTTTTTTTTTTCTTTGAAGTAAAACTTTAGTACCTGGTCAAAAACGTTTAAATCGTGTTCGTATTCTTTGGGGTAAAGTTACCCGAGCACATGGTAAAAGTGGTTCTGTACGTGCTAAATTCCGTCGTAATTTACCACCAAAAGCTCTCGGACGACGAATTCGAGTTGTATGTATTTAATTTATTTTTTTGTATCAATTATAATGTTCTATCATCTTAGATGCTTTATCCATCGCGAATATAAACATCAATTAGAATGGTTAACATTCATCGACTCAACAAATTTATTATTGTTTTTTATCATCATTATCAAAAACTTGTTTTGAGTCGAAAAGAATAAATAAGATAAAACAAAAATAAAAATACATAAAAAACAATAACAACCAGTCTTTTCTATTTGTTGATAATTAAATGAGAAAATTATTTGCATTGAAAATATTTAATTTCTATTAAATATAAAGAGTATTTATTAACTTTTGATCCAGTTAATCAATAGTTATTGCTTTAAGAATAAAAAGATTTTAGAATTCTATAGAAAATTTTGAATTTATGTTTTTTGGAATAGTTCTAATTCTTTTTTAATTAAGTTAAATAAAACACTTGTGAGAATGAAAAGAACTAAATAAATGAAATATGTAAAAAGCAATAATATCTATTAAGTAGATCAAAACTTGGTGAACACTCATTATTGCTTCTACATAGAATAATACATTAATGTCAATTAATAAGATTTTGATTGCCATCGTAGAATGTGAATTTCACATTTGGACAATATAACAACAACAATAAAAAACAGATGTATCTTTGCTTCTTTTTTAATTAGCTTTTAAATAATAGCTTACCGTCATAAGTAAAACAACAATAGATATTATTTATACAAATTCAATTAATGCTCGTAGTGAGTGAAAACCATTGTGTTGAACATACAAACAAGTCATCAATTTAAACTATGATTTGAATATTAGAATAAAAAGAATTCTGCGTGTAATTGATAAGTCTTCTCTATCAAAAAGTTATGAACAGAAGTATATCTTATAATCTTTTGTAAAATGAACATCAAATATATATTAATTTCCATCTTGTATATCTGACAATATTTATTAACGACAAGAAAAAAAAATAATAAATCACATAATCTATTCAAGGATTATCCGTAAATTTTCGATGACAAATAGATACACCATGTTCATCATATTCTCGTTTAGTTACACAATAATTTATATAATCAGATGAATTTGTTAATGTAACTCCAGCATTTAATGCATATGTTATTGGACTAAAGAAAATAAAAGTAGAACGATATATATATCATATTTATTTACTTTTCTGGCAGTGTTATTCGAATTGGATAATCATCTTTAATCATAGAACGTAATTCATTTTCTCTAAAATAAAACAAATTCTAATAATGATATATATGACAAAAAAAAAAGATAGAAATATTTAACTTACAAACGTTCTTTAAAATTTGGAAATAAACAATTTCCACCTGTTAATAAAATATTATTATATAGACTTGGTCGAATATCTAAATTTAGGAATATCCTTTATTAATAAATAAAAAAAAATATTTTCATTAATAGATATGCACCAAATCCGAATTCCAATTCAATGTTCGGGATCTATCCAACTAATTCAAAGAGTCGAATATTTTCAACTATTGTTCAAGCGTTTTTTGAGGTGTATAAACAATCACGTAAGCATCCTAACGTTCGAGTATTTCTAAACATTGTTAACCTTTTTTTCAGAATATCTATAACCCTTATGCTTTTGAATCATTTTTTTTCAATATATGTGCATCTAACGTAGTCAACCGTGAAATGTTTTCTTTCGGATTACTTTCACTGCTTTTATTAATTAATGGAATATTTGAATTCGGTACATGCCTATTCATAAATCTTACGTTCAGGTAATTGTTCAACAGAATTATAAATCGATTCAGCAATTCCAGCTTGATCAATACCAATAATCGATGGTCGAAAAAGTATTTCCGGAATAGTAAAACGTTCAACATTCATTCGTACAATCTAAAAATATAATACATTTCTATTTAATTTTTTAATAAAATATTTCATATACTTGTTGTTGTTGTTTTGTTAAATTCTTTTTTGAACTATCAGCAATATTACCATTAAATGTTGATGTTGATGAAGATTGAACATAACCTTGTTTAATTTCATTATAATCTGGTAAGATGTAATCAAGAGAATTTGAATTTTCAGATAATGGTAAACTGAAATTGATTTTAATAAATAAGAAATATATAAAATTCTATTACAAATATTCATTCAGTTTGTGATCATTAAACAAAATTAATTAAAGTTTACTATTCTTCTTAAATATATATATATATCAAGAATTTTCTTTTTCACTTAACCAGCTTAAAATATGAGATGTAACTAATTGCCCAGTTTGATAGTGCTAGATTTTCTCTGCAAATGTCTTATAATTCTTTTTTATTTTAATGTTGTAACAAAGTTATAAAATTTGTTACATTTAAAGAATTCAAGGAAGTAAAAGTAATCCAAAAGAAAAGATTTCGAGCTTGTCTGTAATAGATCTATATATAGTGGAATAAATGATGCACAAACCGAAGGCATATACGTATCTTAAAAAAATCAACAATGTTCAGAACTACATAAACCCAAACTTAATCGAACCTTCGAGCACTTTCATGATTGCTCGTATACCTTAAGAAATGTTTGGACAATTACTCAAATATATGAAACTGTTTGAACTGTCCGAATAGTTTTCGAATACTGAGTCAAAGCTTGGGTTCAGTGTATGTCTAATTGTAAGCTCTAGTTCATCATAATAAACTATTTTGTATTAAACTAAATGTTTTACATCAATGGTTTGTTTCATAATGGAAATTACAGTAATTGCAAAAAGTACCAGAACTTTAATCCTTTACTCTCATAGTTTAACCACAAATAGAGCATGTTAAACTCTAATCGCAAGGATTAATTAGGATTTGATCAGTCTTCCTGCGAAGAAGCCAGAAGGTCAACATAGATCTTTTCTTCAGATAAGAATATCACAACATAGAAAACAAATCTCATGACATTAGACTCCCTCATTTAATAGCTCAGTGCTGTCTCTATTACCGATAAAAATGCTATGTCAAATAAATTTAGTTTGCCTGTTTTATGAAGTGATCTCTACATGAGAGTTGATGAAAATCGTCGAAATGTGACTGATATCTTCGGTTAGTTTTAACCATTAGCCTTGAAAATTTCTCCACTGAGTATACTGTTTCAATCAAGTTTTCGCTCAAAATTTTACGATCGCAACTATCGATAGAAAAGGGAGCCACGGTGAGACCATCCCAGACAATGGAAACTTCTCCACCCCTCAAAGCTTACAACGGATTGAAGTACTCTACTTGTAACACAATATAGACAAGCGAATCTTCATTTCTTAATAGGAAAATAGAGTTTAATACATTTAAATAGTAGAGAATCAGAAAAGTGTCAAGAAAAAAGACGTTTTTTGGATCTTAGGGGGAAACCAATGTTTTCATCGTAAATCCTTTGCATTAGGACCTATCGGCTTCGGGTTTCTGCTTGAGATCAGAATTTATTGAGCTCTATGTGTAGTCATAATATCAGACAAAACGAATATTTTATGTTTATATAAACATCGTTTTCGATCATTGAAATAGAGCTTTCTTATAATTAATTAATCTGAAGTCAAAAGATGATTCTAAGCACAACACATATTTAGAAAAAGTACATAAGCCATTGTTAGTTCTCAATAATAACTTTAAAATGATCACAATACTAATCAATAATTCATATAAAGAATTTTTTAATAAAGATCATACCGTGCTTTTTTCATATCTTCTTGAAAATCCAATGAAACGTAACATATATTTTCTTTTAATTCATTAATAATATACGTTTCATTCATTACTACAAGTTGTCTAAAATTTAATAAAATATTTCAACGAAGTTTTCTATTGTATAACATTCTTACCGATAAGAAATAACACTTTTTAATTGATTAGTTAATAATTTCCCACCAACATCAATTCTATAAAAAAAAAGAAAAAAAATTATCGAAATATTTCATATAAAAAAAAAATTAATCATTTAATTTTCTTTTCTTTTTACCTTGTCATACCATCAAATAATTTTCTTCCTTGATAAAATGGAACAATATGTGTAAATGAAAAACCAGAATCAATAACAAGAACATAATTTGATTTCATATCTTGTTCATATTGATATGCACTTAATGTAGCAGCTAGAAAAAAAAAACAAAAGAAATGAAAGATAATTTCAATAATTCCATCTTCTTTTTTTGTATTAGTATAAATTAATCTTACGATCATATCGTGCAAATGATGCAACTTCATATTCTTCAAAAAAAATTTGATCCATAGTTTCACGAATAAAATTTAAATTCATACATGGTTCTGTCATTAATAAACCAGTTGTTTTAAATGGTATCTCAAAAAAAAAGTAAAAAAAAAACATTACATAAAAATAAAAACAAAAAATTATTTTTACTTTGCCAAATAAATAATCCCATACTTGTTTTTGAATATTCCAATCGACTAAATAACCCTAAAAATGAAATTAAATATATAATGATTAATACATTTCATGAGATTATCTTTTATTCTTTACTTTTTGAAATGGTAATTGATAATAAAGACTTGTTTTATTCGGACATTCATTATCAATTTGATCAGCAATAAATGTACGACGAGGATAAAATTTTGATTTCATTATACAATTAGGAATAATTCTATATGAAAATATTCGATTATTAAAAAACATAAAATTAATTATAGAAATAATTCGAACTTTGATTTATCTGTTGTATTCATCTTTGATTTTGACATATATGCTCCATTATCAACAACAAATATCGGTTTAGTAGTCATTAATTAAACTAAAGTATATAGATTTATTGTCAAAAAACTTTTAACTAAATGTTTCATCAATATTCTGTGTTTATATATATTTGAATAAACATATACAAAATAACAAGAAAAGAAAAACAAAACCACAAACAAACTGTTCAGTAAAAAAAAAACAAGAAGATAGATTATTATTATTAATCGAGTGGATATTGTTCTTGTAGCCATTGTTGCATTATATATTGAGTACCATCAAAGAAACTAAAATAATCACTCAATTGAGCATTGACTATCTAAAATAGAAAAATAAATAAATATTATCATGAAAAATATTTTATTTGAGTTTATAATCTTTTGATCACAAGTTTAGATTAAAATTTTCGTTTCTTTTTTCAATTTTATAATGGTTTTTGCATGCAATGAGAAAAATATTCATTATGTATTATTCTAGACTTGATAGATATTAAAGATATTATTTTTCACTATAAAATCCATTGTCATATACAGTAAAAATCTCTCTAATATGAGCATCATTGGGATATTGAGTTATAATCACTTGCTGACTGCATAAGGCGATCTTTTTCTTCTATTCAACAATTAATTAATTCAATTTTTTTTAATCAGAGATAGATCAATTCATGTTGATACGATTTAATATTACTAACTGTTAAATAGAAAAACGACAAGCTCTTACATCAAAAACACTTGCTATTGTCTAATATTGGTGTTTTTTTTTTCTTTTAAACATTCACGGCTAGTCCATCTTTTTTTTTCTGGCTCTATATGTAAGTGAGAGAACATATGTTGTTCATATTTGAGAAGTTTTACTGATGAATTTGAAAAGCTTATGTCACAATTTTTTCGTACTCAGATTTTCTTTTAATCTTTTTATAAATTCAATTCTATCTTCAAAGTATTAATTTTAATTCTTGAAATCTATTAACTTTAAATGAAATTCTCTTTTGTATATTAATTTTTAATCAACAAACCTTTGAATTTTGAATAACTTCAATATGTTCTTGTGGTATATATGTTTTATGAGCACGTCGATCTCTTGTATCAAGTAATACAGAATAATTTGGTTGAACTCTATATTCCTAAATTAAAGAGAGAAAGAAAAAAAATAACGACAATGATTTTCTTATTAAAAATTAATTTTTTCTAAATTAACTGGATGTCCTTGGTGATGTTCATCAAGCCATTGATCTGGTGCAGAAGCTATTTCATCCCATCCAATAATTACTGCACGATAACCATAAATTTTATGTCGAATAACTTGACCAACTCGAAATTTAACATATTCAGATCGAGATGAACGAATTGCTGGTGAAGCTAAAACCAAGAAAAAGAAAATCTCATAAATTTTAATGGGTAGCAAAGAAATAATAAGCGACTTTTTTATTCAATATTTTTTTCTGTCTTATGTAATCACCAATTATCATGTGAACAGTATTCAAAATACGCATAGATTCGAATTTCAAAAAAAAAACGTTCTCTTCATATCAATTGTTGATTCTCTATGAACGTTAACATAATCAGATAATTCTGTATTTAACCATATGTTTTTAGAACTACTCGAACCGATAGGACATGAAATTTGCTATATCGTCATATACAAATATTAAATATATTCACGCGAAGTGATAATTTAAAAGTATTTACGACCAAGGCGAAGAAGACATGGAACAATTTTAAATACTCTTCCAATGATAATTAAGCTCTGTAAATTTTGTAGAAAATTCAATTCTCTATCGAATAAGTCCTTTTGTCTGAAATTTCGATCGATTACATAAAAAAGAAAAAAGATAATAGATAAATTACTAGCAAAATATCCATATTTTTCTCTCATATAATAAACTTCTGTAGCAGGAGATTCCATTCCACGTTTCCATGTACGTTTATGTAATAATGGATTAAAACCAAGTGGAATTTCAATAACAAAACTAATAAACCAATTAAACCATGTTGTTGGAGACAGATAATGAAATACTTGTTTAATTTGGTTCGTAATTCTAATAGAAAAAAAAAGAATCAAGCATTTCATATTGTCTATTCATCAAAAGAAAGACAAAAAAAAATAACAGAATTCTACTTAGTAATTGCTTGTGTTTGTTCAATATCTTTCGAAGACCATTTCATTAAAATAAAATATTGTAATGGTACAGCAAGTAAAAGTAAACCAAACTGTAAAAGTGCAAGACGATCCATTTACATCTATAATAAAAATCTAATTTTTTCTTTTTTTTTATTAATTAAAAATAATCTAAAATAATGAAAATATTTATAAATCATTTAAATGTTTTTCTAAACATTTCGGATGAATAAAATTCATAGAAATAATATCATCCGTAAGTTGATCTAATAGAAATTTTCCACATAAATTACATCGTATAAATGAAAATTGTTTTTGATTTTTAATTATAAATTCTTTTTGATAAATCCAACATATATTACAATAAAAATCAATATGATTATTTGTTTGATATATATCAAAACGTGTAAAAGTTTTATGACAACGTGAACATTGTTTACGATTTATTTCATAAATATTATTCCAATCTTTTTGACAACATGTTAATGATGAATTTAAATCTATTTTTTTCTAAAATAGAAAACATATAGTCAAACGTTCGTAGACTTTATAATAATGCGAAATTCTTTTTTATTATAATTAGATGAATCTTGGCGAGTTATCTAAAAAAAATGCTATATTCGAATAATATTTTTCTTGCAAAACTTAGGAAAATTAAGTTTAGAAAAAAAAATCAGAAAAGCTAATAGAATTGAGAATAAGCCAAAAATATTTAGTCGTGTTAGCCTTCATATTTGATTTTACTCGTCATATGATTAGGAAAAAGATTGCACACGAATTTTGAAAAAATATCGTTTCATATGTAGTTTTTCGATATGATAGCAAAACATCATAAATAAGAGTTTGTATTCAAAGATTTTGACTATTAGAATTTCAATTTACAAGTAAACGAACATCATATTCAGAATTACCAGAAAAAATCTGCCTTGAATAATATACTCAAATAGCATTCACAATAATGTTAAGATAATAATGATAAAAACTCTTAAGTTCATATTTTTTTGTATTTATAATATTAATCATTATTGAAAACTTTAGTTGTTGTCAATGGAAATAATACGAAATAAATTAGCTATAAGATAATTAATAAATTAATATGTGCTTTGGTGATCGAAAGTCAAAATAAGGATTCTAACTGTTCTGTCCAGTTATCTTGTATCCAACTCTAGTCGTTACACTTCTTAATTATTATTTTCGAATAATCTATTCTTTGGTCCTCTAAAGGTCAAATCTGATGAAAGTTAATTTCAGTATTTTAAACTTAATTTTCCTAAGTTTTGCTAGAAAAAAAAACATTATTGAAATATAAACATGCCTATAGGTAATTCAACGACCGCAAAAAATTGCACAAGTTTTGCATTGCTGACACTTCATATATTAAATGTTGGAAAAATATTTAACAACAGCGTATTTTTGATATTTTTCCATAATATGAACCACTAAGCTCATATCCAGATAGATATTTTAATAGCCAATGGAGTTTTCAGGTTTCAAAAGCTTCTTTTTTTAACAGTACTATTTTAAAGAGAACAAAATGAGGAATCGTCGCGTTTTCTACGACCTTTCCTTAAAGCACCACAAAAACCAAAGATAGATGTTCTTTAGTCAATTTTTTGATAAATTTCATCTTTTGTGATACTTTTAACTTTTCAAAGGAAGGTTGTGAGAAAATGCGGGAACCTCTTATTTTATTCTCTTTTAAATAGCATTGTTAAAAAAAAATAGTTTTTGAAACCTGAAATCCATTACCTATTAAAATCGCTATCTAGATTTGAACTAGGTGCTTAACATAATCGAAACTATTAAAACTGCATTGTTGTGAAACTTTTTTTCTGTACCACCTTACAGAGTCATTCGGTTTTCTGATATCAATAACATCTTGATCATAGCATGATCCATGATAGTTTTCATCATTAATTATTAAATCATTTTGTTGATGTTCAAATTTACAACGTTGTTTAAATCGTTCAAATAATAATTGACCATAATTATGTGTATTAATTTTATCAAATCTGAAAGAAATAAAAAAATAAAATAAAATATTAAAAAAACAAAACCATTTTTCTTAAAACAAACGATTTGAAAAAATTTGTTTTATTCTTTTTTTCTTGTAATTTTTCATTTTTTATTAAAATATCTGATTGAATAAAATTGTTTTTACATTGATCACATAAAACTTGATCATAACGAATATTTCCACAATAATAAATTAAATTAAAAAAATTTTTATTTTCTTTTAATAATTTTCTCTGACATTTTATACATTGTAAACATGTTGGATGATAATAAATATATTTCTTTGTATTTTTACCATAATTTCGAAGAATTAATTCACTAAATGAAAATTCTTTTTGACAAATAAAACATTGATTTGTTGAAAGAATATGATTAGACAAATAAATATTCGATATCATAAAAAAATAAACTTTGTTTTTTTTGCCCGCTTATTTTAATTGAAAGAGAATTTTACTTCTAATCGAAACTTACTTTTTTGATAAATGAACAAATTGATTGTATCATATTAAAATTATTTATTAATTATTCTAAATAGGGTTGGTTTTTTTTTATTTTGTTTCAAAAATATTTAACATAATTTTTCATTATTCTACAGAAACAATGAAAATTGAAAGTAATTATTGAATTGTGTAAATATTTGAAATGGGTTCTTTTTCTTCTTTTAATATTGATAAAAACAAGAAAAGTATTTGAATTTGATGATCGCATTGGAATCTAAAACGAGAATTCGTTTATTGATATATTCAACTTTCAAAATATAAATTTGGCGTTCGATATGAATTATTGTTATTCTCAATTGAGTTTGATTTTTTGATAATGAACTTGACCTTTTATAACTCACTGCGGTCTCAGGAGAGTCACTGATAAAATTATCTTATAAATAGAGCATTAGCCGCTCTAATATGTCAATAGTGTGATCAGGTCCATCAAGTGTCCTATCATTGATACAGGATGATTTTGGTTATTCGATTGATCATGTGGCAAAAAAGTGGGAATAAACTATATGGGAACTTCTGACCTTCTTTTCTCTTATAATGGTTTCAAATAGGTAAAAGCAGCTTATATACCATGATATCAAAGTAATAAAAAAAAAGGAAGGATTGAATATATAAAAACTAATTTCGAAAACAATATATGTGTTTTTTGAAACATATTGTCAAATAATCCTCTATTTTTCTTTGAGGTATCATATAATCATTGAAGATATTTTATCTATATTAAATATTAATTCAATTTTTCACGTAATGAAATTTACACTATATACATTCACTTTATTTTTGATTGTTCTCTGTCTGTCCTTTGCTACCATCATGTTTCATTTTCGTGAATTATTGTCTGTAATTCACCAAGCTATCCGTGAAATGCTGGAAACTAATAGGTGTCTTTATCAATCTATATCGTATAACAATCTCCAAAGTTCTCTACTCTTGTTTTAAGGAAGAGAATATCTTTATTTAAAATTTTTATCAATCGATAGCTGATGAAGTCCACTACAAAATATGTTTCTGAAGTTTTTGAAATTCTATGCATTATTTAATTTTTGTAACTGATCTACAGATAGTTATTCCAGTGACTAGTAGGGAATAACGAGTTAAAGAAAAAGTTGTTTTACATGAAGAAAATTCAAAAAAAAACATTTTCTATTTACATTATAATTCAAATTCTGATTCATTTGGATGATTTTCATATTTATAGCATACAATGTCTGACAAACAACTTGAACGGTATGTGTTTCTTTTTTGTTTCGTCATCATTGTTGAACTATAATAAAAATATAGATATGATAAAATTTCACAAAAAACAAATTCATTGTTAATTTTGAAATAGATTTTATTAAAAAGAAAATTTACAAGAATTTTTAGATACATACACATTTTGTTAATATTGAATTGTATTTATGTTTTTATAATCTAATTTAAATAAGAGTAATACTGTCATATACCATTTTAATGATTTTCTTTTAGTAAAACTTATTTTAAAAAAAACCTGTTCTTTTGTTATTGGTGGTTTATAATTGAAGTAATTATGTGTAATATCTAATTAAATTTTTCAAAGAAAATAATATTTTATTAAGAAGAATAAAGATATCTGCATATTACTTTATACATAATGTCACTAAAATAACTGTCAGTTTTACCATTAAAATAATATTTACATTTGTCAAGTAAGGTTTTAGCAAATAGAAGACTATACTTTAAAAAAAAGTTTGATAATAGACTTTTAATAATGTATATGAATTGTCTATTTGAAGTTTATTCAAAAAAAGACAAAGAATAATTACAATACTAAATAATTGTAACATTTGATAATCAATATAATAAAATCTAATTAGATGTTATTGAGTTTTGACGATAATTTTATATAAGTGTCTGTTAATAGAATCTTTTCAATGATATTTTGTATTTGATGGTAAGCAACAAACAAACTGATGTATCGTGTCATCGTACCAATGACTAATATACTTGTGTTAACTAACTTCGGCGACCTCTATCAATTGACATGTGAAAGAAAGCAATCTATAAGAATATTGTTAGCGGAAACTAAATATTGACATGAATATGAACTTCCTATAGAGGCTTTTTTTTATCAGTGTAAAAGATTCATCATTACTTCAGTATGAATCAATTTATTCTATTATTTTTTTTTCATAAAAACATTCTGCATTAGTAATGAACGAATTAGAATAAATAAATACAATGGTATTTTTTTGCATTTTAATATTATTGTTTAGCCATGGCTTCAATAATCGATTGTTTGAGTGTTTTTTTAAAATCAATCAGTAATGCCCAAGAACTGAGAAATAGAAATTCCTAAACTGTTGAAGAACTCTCAACGGGTCTACGATAATTCTTCGGGAAAACGAGGATTGACCATTAATTCCTTCATCATATATTCATGTTCACGAATTTCTTGGTGTATATGAATGTGAGAGCAAAAAACATCGTGGATATTGTGGGTTTTTTTATTTAGGCAATCATAGAACTGCAGAAGAATTGAGAAGGAATTCCTATTTCTTATTTATTTGATACTCTTCAGTACTGATGGTAACTTTCATGTTACTTCATTGTCGGTTAATTATTTAATATAAGTTTCAAATTGTTTATCTAACACAATGCCATGGATATAAGTAAATCTCATTAAATAAACAATATAACACATTCATGTATGTGATGCGTATAGTAGGCACATTTTTATAAGCTTTAAAATGTTCCGTCAAAAACAAACATTGTATGGCAATGATGATGATGATCATTCAAGTAGGAGTCGTTTATTACAAAATAAATCTTCTATAACCGATTAAGTAAATAGTTTGTTTAATTCAAGCCATGTATTGGCAATAATTGTTTTCCATTAATACAACGTGCATCTTATACATGAATGATAAAAACAAAAACACTTTTAGTTTTTTTGAAATTTCTTTTAAAAGCCTATTGAACATAAACATTATCTACATCTAAATCATAATATCTTATCTTGTTTGCTTATGTTCAAGTTCTAATAGATTCATATAATAAACTACATATGAACGATGAAAATTTCCAACCTTAAATGAACGACATCAGGTTTGAGTTAGCTACATTCGTCGGATGGTAAATGAGTACGAACAGAATCAAATTTGGACTTATCAACAATGGGTTGAAATAAGGCTGAAGTAATTGTCATGTTGATGTAAAGAAAAGTGCAAAATGTAACAATGATTTAATTTTGTTTGCTTGATTTTTGTTTTTGCATAAACCATATAATATTTACGAAGAGTATAGCCTTTTTTTGTGTTTTCTCTATGACTTTGATAATGATCTGTTACTTCGATTTATTGAATGTGTTTTTGAGTGAGATCTGTCGTATGCGATGATACATTGATGAGAATAATGAAAAAACAAAGAAAAATTTTGAAATGAAAAAGAAAACATTATCGTGTAAGTTGTGTGTTCTAAGACAAAATATCACATTATCCAGCTCAAACGATATCTAATTAAGAATGAAACATATATAAAACTTAAAAGTTCTATGGCACGATTGTGTGAATATATTTTATTCAAAAAACAGTATTAAAACAATAAAAATAAACAATAAACAACAATGTTCTTGTAACCATTATTGTTGAAAGTCTTTAATAATGATGTCCATGATGATTATGATGATGGTGAGGATATGGTGGTGGTGGTGGACAATAGTCAGGTACTGGTGTTGGACAATATTGAGGTACTGCTGGTGGATAATACTGAGGCACAGGTGGCGGTGGACAATAAGGAGCAGGTTGTGGATAAGGGATTGAATGGTGATGATGATGAGCTTGATGATGATGAGGTTGATGATGATGATAATGTGATGGTTCTTGACCCATGTTTTGTTTATACGATAAACGAGTTATAAAGTTGATACGACGTTTATTTAATAGAAATTGAAACAAGTGAAGAAATTCAAGAAAACAAGCATCTTATATACCATAAGATGTTATTGCATAAATATTTTGTCTATCTGACTCATTATCTTCTATGATAAAGAATAAGATAAAAAAATAAACCTTTAATTGCACATGATGTGTTGCTTGAATCACAGTGCAAGATAAGAGTCATTATTTCATTTCTTATGATAACAAAAAAAAGCACGTTTCTAGAACAGATTAGAATAATGTTTTTTTTAATGAATAAATTGTAAGATATTATTCATGATCTGACGCAAATAACATATAGTCTCATATCATCGATTTAACAATTACGTAAAGACTAGAAAATTCTAGAGAATCTAGGGATTTTCGAATTTCGCCAATAAGACTTTTGCCAATAGGACTTTCACCAATTGACCTCTGGACTTTCGCCACTTAATCTCTGGACTTTCGTCAATTAACCTCTGGACTTTCGCCATTGGCGAATATTCAGTTGGCGCAAGTCTTATTGGCGAAATTCGGTTAAGCTAAAGGGTGATCAGAAAGTTTCGACCCCTCTCAGTAAATCGATGATATCTACAACAAACTTCTATGAAGTTATTGATCAAATTATGTCATTCTGTAGAGAAAGATTAGAGCTATATTCTGAAAAAAAGATAGTTCGAAATACATAAATCCATAACAATGTTATGATAATTTTACTAATCTTGAGTGAAAATTTTTAAGTGACATTTTTTTCAAAAACAAAAAATTGTTTGTAACATCCTAAGCGACATATTGTTTTCTAGATATTTTTATATAGTTCGATAGAGTTCGACAAGCTCTACAAGAATATGAATTTTTAAAAAAGTTCTGATCTTATTTTCAATATAAAACTTGAAGGAAACCAGAAAGACTAATAAAAATTTCATGTATCAAATATTCCCAAGAGTAAGCCGAGCTTTGAATAGCTTCAGCTGGTGGAGTGTTCCATCTGTTCATGTAGCTCGAAAGTGTGATATTCAGCTTCAGTTTATGACGCTGCATCTCGAAACATCAATTAACAATCGATCAAATAAAGTTATTGAAAGTTAAGCATGCTATCTCATGCAACATATGCGAGATTGTCATTAATCTGCGTGGTTTCTTTCGAGTTTTATATTAAAAACAGGATTCGAATTATTCTTGATATTCATATTCTTGTAGAGCTTGTCGAACTCTATCGAACCATATAAAAGTATCTATTAAAAACATGTAGAAAATAATATTTCGCTCGACTTTAACGACTCAAACATTCGAGATTTTTTTTACTTTTTGAAAAAAATGTCACTTAAAAATTTTCACTCAAGATTAGTAAAATTATCATAACATTGTTATGGATTTATGTATTTCGAACTATCTTTTTTTCAGAATATAGCTCTAATCTTTCTCTACAAAATGACATAATTTGATCAATAACTTCAAAGGAAGTTTGTTGTAGATATCATCGATTTACTGAGAGGGGTCGAAACTTTCTGATCACCCTTTAGAATCTAACTTTGAATACTACGAATCGTTTTATTGATAACATACAATATCTGAACATACGAAACATTTTCCGTTATGAATTATGATAACATAAAAATCATTTGCATTGTAAATAAGGAAAAGATATGTATGATATATATCCTCTAAAGATGAATACTTCTATAACGAGCATAGTGATAGTATAACATAGTTTTCACTTTTTGTGTTTATTTATTTATTTATTTATTTATTTAAAAAACATGACAAGATTCAAGATTAGTTAATTAAATACTAGATATCAGTTTGATCAAAAACAGGCTTTACAGAATTATCAATGATGTCCATGATGATTATGATGGTGCAAATCATGATGATGATGTCCAGATTGTGGCCAAACAGGAGGAGGTACAAATTGATAATGCCCTTCTTGTGGATAATGACCTGGACCTGAAGGAAAGATCGCTGGAGGTGGTGGTGGACAGTAACTGCCAGACGCAGGAAAAGGCGGTGGTGGACAGAAACCATCAGACGCAGGAAAAGATGGTGTTGGACAATATCCACTAGATGCTGGATTTGGAGGCGGTGGGCAAAAACCACTTGATGTTGGAATAGGAGGAGGTGGCGGCACGTATTGATTCTGATATGGATTGTAACTCATATTTTTTAGTTAATATTCAAATAAAATAGTTGAAGATAAATAAATGAATCGACGTTTTAATAGAAGGTAACTGAATTGTTGACAATACAATATATAATATATAAGTCTTCTGTAGAAAACTGTTGAAGAGATAAACTTACCTTGGTTACTCTTATGTATTATCTAATTGAAACAAATAAAATATACGTTTATGTGACGATTCTATATATTATTTACGTAATGATAAAGAAAAATAAAAACATCTCTTTGGACTTTATTCGAAATTGAAACACGAACTGTCATTGGGTCTATGTATAATGGGTTATCAAGTATAAAACAATTGTTATTCATTGGATAAGTTCAAAATAGATCTGACTCGGCCATACATCAGATGCTCCTAGATTTATGATTAATAGCTTGTGACTGTTAAAAAAAATGTATTTCAACAGATTACTAAACCTACTATTTTTATTTTATAGCATATACCAAGTTTTTCTTATAACAAATTCAGAAATGTTTCATAAGAGCATAACAAAAACTCTGATATATTTGTTACGTTTCAATATTAATTTTCATCATCATTTATCTATCGACTTAGTAGAATTTTTTTACTATTTCTTTTATTTCTATGATTGATTCGTGACTCCAAATGATTTTAAAATTGTTGAGTTCATGGCACCAATGGGTAGGTATGGGTGTTTGATAAATCTTGTTGATAAGCTATGAGCTCTATGTAGAATTTTCATAATTAGTAGTTTTTCTAAATTACATTGATATTATCTTTGTAACTAATTCTAATATTACAAGTATCAATGTACGAATTTGATGAGAAATATGCTTCATGGAAGTAAAACACGATTATTACGATTAGAATTACCGTTTATTTTCTATTCCGATGATAACTTCTATTTCATGTTATTCAAAAGTAAATTTCAACCGTTTTGAAATAGAGTCACTATTACTCTTTCAATAGATTGTAGCATTTTGATGATGACAATATTCTTCTACACACTGCTGTAAAATAAAGTACTCAACAGCATACTAGATTCAAACGGAATGGTTGCTACCTTATAGCAAATTTTAGTCAAATATGCCATTCATGACCGTCATTGACCAGACAGAATTACTGGCTCAGATGAAAAAATTAAAAATCTAGATTGTATAACAAATCAGAATTTGATTTCATCATAAAAATATTGATCTTAACCTGAGATAAGGTTTTCGATGATAACATTTGTAAAGATAATATTATCAAACATCTTCTTCGTAATTGAAATCATTTTATTTTTCTGATGATCGATTAAAATAAAACTTTCACTTCATAATTTTCAATAATATTAAACAAAGCTCTAATGACATTGTGAAATCTAGTCAAATTCTTAGTAAAAAAAGAAATCAATGTTTGATGTAAGAACACCCAGAACCGTAGCTTCTCAAAAGAGATACTTTTTAAATAAATATTCAGCTATTTAAGTATTTGCATAGCTATTTAAGTTTTTCTTACTTAAATAGCCATTTATCTAGCTATTTAAGTTTTGTCATAGCTATTTAAGTTTTCTATAGCTATTTACGTTTTGCATAACTATTTAAGTTTGCATAGCTATTTAAGTTTTGCATAGCTATTTAAGTTTTCTCATAGCTATTTAAGTTTATCATAGCTATTTAAGTTTTGCCATAGCTATTTAAGTTTTCTATAGCTACTTAATTTTTTTTTTGTATAGCTATTTAAGTTTTCTCGTATCTATTTAAGTTTTGTATAGATATCTATGTATTTATATAACTACTTGAATCCTCCACAGCAATTTAAATACACCCATATCGATCTAAATCTTGAATATCTATTTAAGTATTTAGATAGCTATTAAAATCTTTCATAGTTATCCAGACTTTTTTTATTCTTCACCCCCGCCATGCTACTCCTCTTCTTTTTTTCACCCCTCCCCCCCCCCTGCTCTAACAGGTAAGTAAATGCTAGACAGTCACGTGTCATCAGCTGAATTGCCATATCAACTATAGGGTGTCCAGAAAATGACTAGAGTTAGAAAAAATTGCATATCTCTCTGCTACGGCTCGAGCAAACAGGCTGATTTTTCTACCAATAATAGAAGCATGTTCACACTTTAAATCCATACAGACAAGATTAGAAAGAGCCTTTGTTAAGTACCACCAACGACCTCAACAAAAAAAATTTTACTTTTTCACAGATAGGAAAAGAACACTATACGGAGTAGCGCAAAAGTCACTTTGCCGCAAAAAAATTGAATATCTTCACTATGGCTCGAGCAAAAGAGCTGATTCTTTTATCAATGATAGAGGCATGTCCAAGCTTTATACTCATAAAGGCATGCCTAGAGAGATCCTTTGTTAAGTCTATTGTTTTTTTTCTTATCTGTGAAAAAGTAAAATTTTTTTGTTGAGGTCGTTGGTGGTACTTAACAAAGGCTCTTTCTAATCTTGTCTGTATGGATTTAAAGTGTGAACATGCTTCTATTATTGGTAGAAAAATCAGCCTGTTTGCTCGAGCCGTAGCAGAGAGATATGCAATTTTTTCTAACTCTAGTCATTTTCTGGACACCCTATATATTCAATGCTTTTACTAGCTATTGAAACTGCTTCATTCTCATAATTTGGCTATAGTAATACTAATAAAACCACACTCTGAAATATACATGGGAGTACAGCTCAAATGACTATATCACCTTTAATTTCAGATACATAAATGGTAAATTGTATAGAAAGACAATAAACAGCCATAGAAATACTTAAACATAGATGAAATAGAAATAGATAAGACTAACGTACAAAGCTATATATCTGATTAAATACTATCCTAAACTTAAACAGTCATCTAACTACTAAAACAGCTATAATAAACTTAAACAGCTATTGTAAACTTAAATAGCTATGATAAATTTATATAGCTATGGCAAAACTTAAATAGCTATAGAAAAACTTAAATAGCTATAGAACAACTTA